GGACAGACCCCATTGGACTGTCTATGCACAACGACAGAGAAAGGTCGCTCCTGATAATGAAATTGGAATCCCCAATGGTAATTCTGATTGCCTTAACGTAAAAGGAATTATCTCGAAGCTTTGTTACTTGGTGGAATTGTAAGGGGGCATTAGAAGACTGTTTCCCACTAACAGTCCTCTCACCAACCCTCAGAAAGGCAAAAAATGCAATAGCACACATTGCCTGAAAAAGGTATACTTCGTAACGTGAAAGCGTGGTTCTGAAGGCGGAAGACATGATACGCTCCAGAATAGGTAACGTGATAGGGAGTCTGCTATCGAGCCGGAAACCTTTCTTGTTGTACCCTTTAAGCATCTGTAAAATAAAGAAGACCTTTGTTGGGTCTTCAGCCCCTGCAAGCTTATGCGAATAACCTAGAGCCGACACATAAGTATTGACAGTAGAAAAGGCATAATGTTTATCATATGAACATGCAATGAATAGAGCTAAAATAGAGGGTGAAACAGGGAAAGAAGAAGAATTATTGGGGAAAATGGAGCCTTGAAACTGGTAAAATAGTGACCACGCCCTTTTGTACGTGGGCAGCGAAGGGGGCTGTAGACTGGATTGAAGCAGATCTCCGATTATACCTGCCAGCTTTGAGGCTGGAGATGAAGGGGAATTGCAGTAGGCTGTAGATCCATCTGTGCTGGAGCAAGCTTCCTGAAAGTGTGAACCTGCAAACGAGAAAAACTGTCGGCTAAAGTGTTAAAAACACCAGGTATATGTTTAGCACGAAAAAGTATGTTGTGCTTAAGGCAAATAGCCACTAATTTTCGGACACAGAACATAAGCAGTTTGTCCTTGCAAGATTGCTTGTTAATGACGTGCACTAGAGCATCATTATCGGTGATAAACAAAATACAGTTGTTGTGCATCTCTTCACCCCATAGGTACAAGCTTAGAACAATAGGGTAGAATTCCAGGAAGGCAATGTTGCGCCCTTGCCATTTGGAGGGCCACTGACCAAAGCACCAGTGGTTGCCAAAAATTGCCCTGAAACCCAGCGAGCCCGCTGCATCAGTGTACAAATGTAACTTATGAGAATTCAACCACTCGTCATGCAGAAAAATGATTTACCATTGAAATTGTTCAAAAATTCTAACCAGACACGCAAATCCTCCTTTTCTTGAGAAGTGAGACGAATTCTGTGGTGAGCTGCCTTAACACCTATGGTAAGGTCAATAAGTCGAAAGGCTCTCCCAGAAATAATTACAGAACACGCAAAGTTCAACAGTCCTATCATAGACTGTAGCTCCACCAAGGTAACCTTCTTACGCCGGAAGAGATTGGAGATTAAGTCAGTACATTTATCTAACTTGTCTTTAGGTAAACGAGCTAATTGTAACTGCGTATGAAGTTCAATTCCTGCAAAAGAAAGAATAGGCAAAGGGCCAACAGTCTTTTCCGGCGCCATAGGGACGCCCAGGTACTGACAGACATCCAAAAAGAGTTGTAATTGTTTGTTACAAAGCTCTGCGGTGGGTGCAACAATCAAGAAGTCATCTAATAAGTGAAGAATAGTAGAGATCTGGAGCTTTGTTTCAGCTAACCACTCGAGAGCCGAACTGAATGTTTCAAACGTCTTGCATGAGCTGGAACAGCCCATGGGCATGCAGCAGTCGTAGTAGTAAAGTCCATTCCACTTCATGCCCAATAAGGGGTAGTTGGATGGTTGAATTGGAATGATGCGAAAGGCATCTTTGATGTCAGTGTTTGCCAAAAAACACCCTTTGCCACATTGTTTAATCAGGCTGATTGCATCTGCAATGGTGGCGTACTGAACTGATGTATTTGCAGATAGGATGCCATCGTTTACTGAAAAACCACTAGGGACGGACAGGTGGTGGATCATCCTAAACTCACCCGGGACTTTTTTAGGCACTACCCCTAGGGGGGATACACGAAATTCTGTAAAAGGTGGAGGTTCAAATAGACCCGCCAAGCGAAGGGCTTCTGTTTCCTTTTTAATTTTAGAAAAAACAGCATCTGGGTGGTCGCGAGCACTTAACAGGTTCTCAGCCTCGAAAGAAAGGAATTCACCTTCAAAGCGTAGGGGAAATTCCTTAGTAAACTCAGCATACAAAAACTCTACTGTAGACGGTGTATACCCAACAAGAAAATTCCTCAGACGATCAGCGTTTATTGGTGTGGGAAGGTTGTGGCTTTGCTTGGGATGGGGCTGAGGTTGGTCTCTTTGAGAGACGAAAAGTGCATTGCAGCCCACCGTGATTTCCGTTGCATTTGAAACACACATGCTTGTATGCGCAACCTGAACACTCCTTCCCTCTCTGAAGACCGTAACAATAACCCTTGGGGATGGCATTATACTTGGGTGTCTTCGAACCCTGTGGGTGGCTGGCGTGGACTGAGAGGACTGAGGGGTCACCTGAGAGCGAAGCCACAACTCCCATTGAACTGTTCCCCAAGGATAAGCCTCGGGCTGACTCTGTCTCATAAAACGGAAGTTCTCATCATAGAATTTCCAATTGTGTGACCTAGAAGCCAAATCCTGAATTACGTCACCATACTTCATTAGTGCTGGTGCATCAGCAGGATATTTACGGGTATACAACGTCACAAAAATGCGGAAAGCAGACATCCAACCCTCAATGTTTACAATGCGCTTAGGTTTATTAGAGGGCTCGAAAAAGAGGGAGGGTTGGCCACTCCTTCCATTAACAATACTAATCTGGTATTTATCTTCCCCAGCCAAATGGTTGCTTATCAGAACACCAAAATCAATATATTCATTATTGAAGATCTTAGTCTTAACTTTTTCAGAAATGCTCGCATCAAGACTAAGACCAACTGAATGAAACATTTGGCTAGGTTTACGATGCTCACCTTGCATCGAGCTATGCAGTGCACCAATAGCAGTATCTACAAGCTGCCTAGCCGAAGTATCACCAGTAGATGGTACAATTGGTTCCTCAATGACACTTTCATCAAGCTGTTCACCAGAAGTAGCAACAGGCAAGGGTTGTGAGGGAGTTTCTGACACAACTGTTGGTGTAGCTCTTGTCTCTGAGGATGAAGGCTGGGTAACGATGGCCTTTTTTACCTCGAGGCTAACCCTTGAGACCAAGATGTCAAATTGGTCTGGGGAAAATATAGGTGCGGTAGAACTGGCCGCCTGTTGGTTTGGTATCCTATGCTGGTCATCAGGTTGATTTGATTTCTTCCTTTTTGGTGGCGCCTTCTCAGAAGACTTTTCTCTTTGCAACGGGAGGGGTTAATACAGCAGGTTCAGGAAGGGAAGCCTTTGTCACACGATTAGAACGTTGAGGTGGCATCCTTCAAAAAGAAAGTGAAATGGCAGCACGCATCCTATCCCAGGGAGTTAAGCCCCGGTAATAGAATAATCAAGAGGATTGAAGGCTCTAGAATAAATCAGGGAGTAAAGTCGTTGGAAGAAAATAATAATAGGATTTAAGCCTCAAAAATAAAATCAGGGATTAAAGCCCTTGTACGAAAATAATCAAGATGGTTTAAGTCTCAAAATAAAGTAATAAGAGGATTTAAGCCTCAAAATTAAAATCAGGGATTTAAGCCCTTGCAATAAAATAATCAAGAGGATTTAAGCCTCAAAAATAAAATCAGGGACTTAAGCCCTTGCAATAAAACAAACGAGAGGATTTAAGCCTCAAAATTAAAATCAGGGATTTAAGCCCTTTCAATAAAATAAACAAGAGGATTTAAGCCTCAAAAATAAAATCAGGGATTTAAGCCCTTGCAATAAAATAAACAAGAGGATTTAAGCCTCAAAATTAAAATCAGGGATTTAAGCGGCCCTTGCAATAAAATAATCAAGAGGATTTAAGCCTCAAAAATAAAATCAGGGATTTAAGCCCTCGCAATAAAATAATCAAGAGGATGTAAGCCTCAAAAATAAAATGAGGGATTTAAGCCCTTGCAATAAAATAATCAAGAGGATTTAAGCCTCAAAAATAAAATCAGGGATTTAAGCCCTTGTAATAAAATAATAAAGAGGATTTAAGCCTCAAAATTAAAATCAGGGATTAAAGCCCGGGTAATAAAATAGTCAAGAGGATGGAAGCCGCAAAATAAAATCAGGGACCAAAGCCGTTGTAAGAAAATAATCAAGAGGATCGAAGCCTCAAAAATAAAATCAGGGATTAAAGCCCTTGTAATAAATTAAACAAGAGGATTTAAGCCTCCAAAAATAAAATCGGGGACCAAAGCCCTTATAATAAAATAATCAAGAGGATTTAGGCCGCAAAAATAAAATCAGGGATCTAAGCCCTTGTAATAAAATAATCAAGAGGATTTAAGGCTCGAAAATAAAATCAGGGAGCTAGGTCCTTGGAAACAAATGATCAACGAAGCCGGTAAATAAACTAATGGAAACAACAGAAAGAACCTGGCGAAAGGGGCATCTATGGCATAGTAGAATTATGAAGCAGAGACAAGGCTTTGAGGATAGCTCCCCTATAGCTACGATAAAGGAGATATTGGCCCAAAGTATTTAAGTGAACGCCATCCGGAAAAGAACTGTCCTGACAGGGTTCGTGAGCCCCTTGTGAAACCAACAAAAAAACCCCGGAATTGATTCAACAAGTGTAGCTAAAACTTCATGCAGCGTTTTAACCTTCGTGTTAAAGGATGCACCGCCACACCGACAGGATGGCCCACGTGAGATGACATGACAAATGCACACAATACGGATGAGGGTCAAAACGTGCAGCAAGGTCAGCTTTAAAATTACGAACGAATGAATGCCCCAAAATAAGAACGTTGGGGACGGACAGGGCCATAATAAAAGTCAAAAGTTCACCTTGAAAAACTTCAGCTTACTTGTCCACGAGTTTGAGGCAAGTGTGCTTGATCCACTCGGAATCGCGCGTACGTGTGGTTAATATGGGATACCGCTGGCGACTTGCCACGTGAATGCTGCTATTACATAACAAGGAAAATAGTTCTGCCTTTTCACAATAACGATACAACAATATTAAGAAGGAAGTGATAGAGAGCATAAAAATCCTATTTGCTAGCAAATATTTCATATGTTATGTTATATAACATGTTATGTTTATGTTTTGTTATGTAAATGTTATATAACATGTTATGTTTGTTATGTTATATAACATGTTATGTTTATGTTATGTTATATAAACATGTTGTTATGTAAATGTTATATAACCTGTTATGTTTGTTATGTTATGTTATATAACATGTTATGTTTATGTTTTGTCATATAACATTTTATGTTTATGTTATGTTATATAAACATGTTATGTTATGTAAATGTTATATAACATGTTATGTCTATGTTATGTTATTAACATGTTATGTTTATGTTGTTATATAACATGTTATGTTTATATTATGTTATAACATGTTATGTTTATGTTATGTTACATAACATGTTATGTCTATGTTATGTTATATAACATGTTATGTTTATGTTATGTTTTATAACATGTTATGTTCATGTGATGTTATATAACATGTTATGTTTTATAACAGGCTATGTTATGTTATATATAGAACATATTATGTTATATTATATAACATGTTATGTTTTATATAATAAAGTCAGCAATTCATGCATTTTGATTGGTCCTTACTTATGATCTATTAAAATTCTTTCTTTTTCAAAATGGCGGAAAATTTTGAAACTTCGGAAAATATTTTGCCGGACTTGGTGAACAAGGAGATAGAAATAACTCTTGTCGAGGCTGTGTATAAATTCCAAAAGGAAGAAGAAGAAAAGACACGTTCCTACGTGGAGAATGACTTGGAATAAATTCTGGAGCAATCTCAGTCGCTCGCGACAAAACGAAACACAAAATGGGTCGAGAAATTATTTCAAGGTAACAAACATTTTTTTGCTTCGCATTTAAGTAACACAAAAAGCAGAAATTTAAACAAATTGATTTATTAGACAATTTCAGCACTATACAGTCTCAAAATAATTGTCTACACAGATTGGTGTCAAGCGAGAAGCATCACAACACCTCTCCTTAAAATGAATACAGCAGAATTAGACTTAAACCTAGCAAGGTCTTACGTCGAAGCGAGAATGAAAAAAGGTGAAGAATACAGTCGCTCAGCACTTCTTGGTTTTCGGAATTCAATTGAAAGATACCTAAACAACAATGGCCGTATAGTGAAAGTTTCAAGGAACCAAGTGTTTCAAAAGAGTAAGAAAATTCTGGACGCGAAGCTACGAATCAACCGCCGCGTCAGTAAGGAAAACATTCAACATAAACCAGTTATTGTACCTTCAGACCTCGCAAAGATAAGAGCCAGCCCTTTCCTCAGTGTCACAAATCCAGGCGGATTGCTAAGGAGAATGTGGTTATACGTTTCTCTGTACTGGTGCAGGCGTGGAAGGGAGGGACAGCGAGATCTTCGCCGCGACAGTTTCAAGTTCACCAAAGATGCAAACGGCTGCGAGTACACAGTTATGACCCACGAAGAAGCTACAAAAAACCATCCTGGTGGTGAAACCAGCAAGCCCTCAGCTGAACGAGAAACAAGGCTTTACAGCACTGGAGCAGACGTTGATGCGTTTGCCAGTCTCAAATTGTACGTGTCCAAGTTGAATCCCTCCTGCCCAGCGTTCTTTCAAAAACCAAAAGCCAGATTCACCACAGAAGACATCGTGTGGTATGAAAACAGCCTACTTGGCGTGAACAAGCTGGGAGACATGATGAAGATCATATCCAAAGGAGCGAATCTCTCTCAAGTGTACACCAATCATTCCGTCCGGTCTTCAGCAATAACCGTGCTTTCAGATGCGAATGTACCCGACCGCCACATAATGTTTGTCCCCAGACATAGCAGCGAGCAAAGCATCTCACACTACATCGCCAGGCCATCGGCACCTCAGCTGGAAAGTGTATCCGACACAATGTCCAATGCTCTTCAGTACAAATTTCTACCGTTTCCAGCACTCCATCAGCTACACCATTAACTGAAAGCTCAAATCGCATGGCTTCCACTGTGTCGATGTCATCCACATCAGCAAGCTTCCCGAGCGGTTTTTTCAACAACTGCAATATTCAAGGCGGTGTGCAAGTGTTCTTCGGGCTTCAGAGCCGCTCTGATGAGCAAAACTGACTAGATTTTAGCAGTATTATGTAACACATTCTGAATCGAATTTGAGCTTTGGCTGTGATGTTTTGTTCCATGAAAGGCGAAGTTCTCGATTAAGTTTTGACAGTGGCGTGATTTCCTTAGCCAATCACAATTCGTTGCAGGACCCAGCAACCAATCAGTTTGCTCCATATTTGTATAGATAACAAATGACGTCAAATCACTTTTTTCGCTGTTGGAAAAACCCATCACGGCCCTGCTTTGTATCTTCTTTCGAAATAAAAACGCTTTTATTAATTTTTGTTTCTTTATTATATAAAACAAATAGATTCCATTTGGCCGTGCGTCTGTTCAGTTATATCGGCTCGTGGGCCACTTTTCTGATCTTACCACATTTTGACGTCATCTGTGATCTATAACTGACAGACACACGGCCAAATGGAATCTATTTGTTAAATATAACATTTTATGCTATGTTATATAACATGTTAATGCTAATGTTATGTTATATTATGTAACATGTTATGTATATGTTATGTTATATAACATGTTATGTCTGTTATGTTTTATAACATGTGACCTCTCACGCGATAACGTTCCGAACGCTAGCCATTCGAACGCTGAACGGAACGGCAAGCGAACGGGCGACGAACGGTTAGGCAAGCCGTTCGAAACGGGTACCGTAAATGGATGAACGGCTAATTAAGATTTTCGAACGGATGAGGTCGAACGGATAAACGGCTTCTTGAATTTTTCGAACGGATGAGGTCGAACGGATAAACGGCTAATTGAAATTTTCGAACGGATGAGGTTGAACGGATAAACGGCAAATCAAAAATTACCGAACGGATAAGGTCGAAAGGATGAACGGCAAATCAAAATTTCTGAACGGATAAGGTCGAAAGGATGACATAATAACAAGTCATGTAGTAACAGTCAACACAAAGCCCACCAAATCGCTCAAATTCGCCATTTAGAGCCGCAGAAACGACAATACACAACAAACGAGGTAGATTTACGTCGATTTTGAACTTTAACATAGACTTTACTCGATATAAGTTTACGATATTAAGATTCTTCAATATTCCCATACCTTTATTTATATTTCGAACATACAAACGGACACGCCACTTCTGTGGGCGCCTTGTGTTTACATTATTATCAATCGAACGACTGTCGTACCAAATAATTTAATGGTTCACTTGTGACGAGAAATAAACCTCGAAACCTCAAATTAACTATTGCTGCATTGAAAATCAGTCTTCTTAGAGTCAAGGGAATTTCGTTACTGAGAATAACATCTCTCGTCTGCCGCGCTCATTTCCTTAATTAACATAATGTCACGCAAACGTTTCGACAATGATTTAAAGCAATGATTTTAATACATTTCGCCGCCAGAATGCTTCCGCTGAGTAGACGACGCTTCTCCTTGTCTTATCTTTCCTCTTCGATATCTCAGTGCGAACGAAATAATGAATAAACAAACGAGCGCGTGCCAATTTGTCGGCTGCGTGATTTGCATAATTTTGACACGGTAGGAACAAGACATAACTTCAATTCTACAACCCGTATTGACACAATCTGTGAAAAGATCACTTGAAACGAGTCACATACACTTCGGCACTGTTGTTTAAAAAATTAATTCCACAAACAGTACGTCTGCGCCGCCTGTGAAAACACAAGCTAAACGAAGCGCATGGTGAAACGAAGAGCCCAAAGCGCCGTAGTGTCACATTTATCTTGTGAGCAATGTTTATCTTGAAATTAATCTCTCTCGCAAGGCAGAAGTGCGTGGCTTCTTAAGCCGCCACGAACACGTAAGGACCGTAAGGTTTTCAATTTAATAGGAGCTTGTGAATCAAACGTTTTTCCGTAACAAATGAAGTGAGTATCATTTAAGCGGAGGTAAACAAAGAACAGAAGCGTGACGACTGTTTGTGTAATGTAAACATGACGGCATGCATCATTTAACAAAGAATGGCGAATTTATTGTTTTGAAGTCGTCAAAATAACTTACTGTTTCTTTCTTGAACGGATAGCTCGAGCCGTTCGAACGGCTGATGAATTTTCTCGAACGGATAGCTCTAGCCGTTCAAACGGCTGAAGAATTTTCTCGAACGGATAGCTCTAGCCGTTCAAACGGCTGATGAATTTTCTCGAACGGATAGCTCGAGCCGTTCGAACGGCTGATGAGTTTTGTCGAACGCATAGCGTGATGAATTTTTTAGAACGGTTAGCTCGAGGCGTTCGAACGGCATGCCAGTCCGTTCGAACGGCTGATGAACGGCTAGTGAACGGCTATCCGTGTAAAAACGGCTAAGCGTTCGGAACGTTTTTGCCTGAGAGGTCACACATGTTATGTTTATGTTATGTTTATGTTATAATATATAAACATGTTATGTTAATGTTATATAACATGTTATGTTATGTTATATAACATGTTTATGTTATGTTGTATAACATGTTATGTTTGTGTTTTGTTATATAACATGTTATGCTGTTAATGTTATATAACACGTTATGTTAGTTATATAACATTTATGTTTCATAACATGTTGTGTTATGTTATATAACTTGTTATGTTAATGTTATATAACATGTTATGTTTTACAACATGTTATATTTGTTATGTTTTATCACATGTTATGTTATGTTGTGTTATATAACATGTTATGTTTGTCATGTTATATAACATGTTATATTTATGTTATGTTATATAACATGTAATGTTTATGTTATCTTACAAAACATGTTATGTTATGTTATGTTATTAACATGTTAATATGTTGTTTATGTTATGTTATATAACGTGTTATGTTATGTTGTCTTATATAACATGTTATGTTATGTTATATAACATGTTACGTTTATGTCATGTTATATAACATGTTGAGTTTATTTTGTTATATAACATGTTATGTTTGTGTTTTTTATATAACATTTATGTTTCATAACATGTTTTGTTATGTTATGTTTATGTTATGTTTGTGTTTTGTTATATAACATCTTATGTTAATGTTATATAACATGTTATGTTATATAACATTTATGTTTCATGAGATCTTAGGTTCTGTTATAGAACATGTTATGTTATGATACATAACATTTGTTTGATAACATGTTATGTTATCTTATATAACATGTTATGTCTATGTTATGTTATTAAGATGTTAACATGTTGATTATGTTATGTTATATAACATTTTATATTTATGTTATGTTTTATAACATGTTATGTTTATGTTATCTTTTATAACATGTTATGTTATGTTGTGTTATATAACATGTTATGTTTATGTTATCTTACAAAACATGTTATGTTATGTTAATGTTATATAACATGTTGTTTATGTTATGTTATATAACATGTTATGTTTATGTCATGTTATATAACATGTTATGTTTATATTATGTTATATAACATGTTATGTTTGTGTTTTTTATCTAACATGATATGTTATGTTAATGTTATATAACATGTTAACATGTTGTTTATAGCATGTTATATAACATGTTATGTTTTATAACATGTTGTTTGTCATGTTATATAACATGTTATGTTTATATTATGTTATATAACATGTTATGTTTGTGTTTTGTTATATAACATGTTATGTTATGTTAATGTTATATAACACGTCATCTTATACAACATTTATGTTTCATAACATATTATGTTATGTTATATAACATGTTATGTTATGTTATTAACATGTTGTCTATGTTATGTTATATAACATGTTATTGTTATGTTTATGTCATGTTATAAAACATGTTATGTTATATTATATAACATGTTTGTTATATAACATGTTATGTTTATGTTATGTTATATAACATTTACGTTTCATAACATGTTATGGTATGTTATAACATGTTATGTTTATGTTATGTTTATGTCATGTTATATAACATGTTTTGTTTATGTGGTTTTATAACATGTTATGTTTATGTCATGTTATATAACATGTTATGTTTATGTTATGTTATATAAACATGTTGTTATAACATGTTGTTATGTTAATGTTACATAACATGTTATGTTATACATTTATGTTTCATAACATCTTATGTTATGTTATATAACATGTTATGTTATGTTATTAACATGTTAACATGTTATGTTTATGTTATATAACATTTTTTTTATGTTATGTTATATAACATGTTATGTTTATGTTATGTTATATAACATTTATAATTTATAACATGTTATGTTTATGTTATGTTTTGTTTATGTTATGTTTATATGATGTTATATAACATGTTTATGTTATGTTTTATAACATGTTATTTTTATGTCATGTTATATAACATGTCATGTTTATGTTATGTTATATAAACATGTTCTGTTATAAGATGTTGTTATGTTTATGTTATGTTATACAACATTTATGTTTCATAACATATTATGTTATGTTATGTAACATGTTATGTTATGTTATTAACATGTTAACATGTTGTTCATGTTATGTTATATATCATGTTATGTTTATATCATGGTATATAACATGTTATGTTTATGTCATGTTGTTATATAACATTGTATGTTATATAACATGTTATGTTTGTGTTTTTTTATATAACATGATATGTTATGTTAATGTTATATAACATTTATGTTTCATAACATATGTTATGTTATGTTATATAACATATCATGTTTATGTCATGTTATATAAACATGTTATGTTATAACATGTTGTTATGTTAATGTTATATAACATGTTATGGTTATGTTATGTTATACAACATTTGTTTCATAACATAATCATGTTATATTTATATCATGGTATATAACATGTTATGTTTATGTCATGTTGTTATATAACATGTTATGTTTGTGTTTTTTTATATAACATGATATGTTATGTTAATGTTATATAACATGTATGTTTCATAACATATGTTATGTTATGTTATATAACATGTCATGTTTATGTCATATTATGTTATATAATATTTTATGTTATGTTATATAACATGTTACATGTTATATAACGTTAATGTTCAAGTAACCCTTACCAAAACCACATATATGTTGCATATATGTGACGTATATGTAGCTGTAACATATATATGTCAAATAACTGTACATATATGTGACATATATGTAGAAGTTTTGAAGTGCCTATACATATATGTTACATATATGTAATATCTCATAGGATGATAAGACATATATGTGACATATATGTAAAAGTTTTGAAATGACCATGCATATATGTTACATATATGTAATATCTTTCAGGATAATTTAACATATATGTGACATACATGTAGAAGTGCAGTATGATTATATATATATTAATTAATGTGCATGCATAAAAGGCACTTGGGACCACTCAACATACATGTGACATACTTGATGGCACCAGAAGGGAGTATTAAAAAAAATGAAACCCTAGAAAACTAGCAAGTGTCAGTGGGGGGACGTGGGGGGCCGGGGGGGAGCCTTATTGACTTAATAAATATTACAATATATGTCACAGAGCGAGTTTGAGCACCGATCGAGTTATTTTTCAGTCATAGTCCAAATTATTGATGTACATACTTTTTTTTGCATATGCATATATTTACATTAATTAAAGGTATCACACAACAATTTCCAGCTCCAATTGTTTCAGTCTGTTTCAATGAAATTCGGGAAGTGGGTCACATAAACACAATCATCAGCATCCTTAACATCTATAAAAACACATTTATGTAAGATGTTCCTGATTGGGATGACATCAACATTTTCCATTCTGAAAGAAATAAAAAGAAAATGAGGTAGGAAATACAAAATGAGGCCATTTTTAAGATGCGGAACAAAACAAAAGATCTCAATATCGCTGTCCATCTTTTAGCCATAAAGTAATTAAGTTCTTTTGTTTTATTACCAAAACCTACATTTATATACAGGTATATTTGTATTTCTTAAACAATAATTTGTACCCTTGGATAATGCTATTGATCCAAGTTCTTATTTCAACGTACACTGTGAAGTTAGCAAAGTTGCTGCATTGACATATTATTGCATTAATAGATGATTGTGACAGTGTAGTGGTTATATAGTCATCAACAGTAAATACATGACGCATCTTGTGTTCTGATGTTTCAATACTCCAACTGCCCAATTGTACCGTAGCTATTAGGAGACCCATTATCTGGATGGTTGGTAGAAATCGGATCAAACAAATTCTGATGCTTGGTATGTAAGTGTGATATTAAAAAAAAAAGATTTTCCAAAAGCAAAAACTTAACTGCACAATTAATTTATCCAATGGTTTAAACACAGATAGGACATTTGACATGTTTGTGTACCTTGGCTTCTGCATGATCTGAAGCTGCTTCTGGATTCCTTCAATTCCAGCTTTTTCCAGAAGGTTAGAATCTCTTAATGGTTCCATGTGCACAACAATGGCAAAGTGTTGATCTTTGTTGCACTGGCATAAGGCAATACAAGCACGTTGGCAAATGGGTGTATGTTTCACAAAATACTGTATTTGACCACATTCCCTCCTCTTCTGACTGTCTTCATAGGTTACAGTGTAACTGTTTCTTCTGGAAACACGGCCATATGATTTAGAGTGAAATACTTCACCACGAATGATTGCCCTCTTAAAACTCTGGCATCTTCCCAGAGCCAAATCTCCAGTGAAATCCTTGATATGCTGCTCTATAGTTTCTGGGACCTCAAAGTCAGTAAAAGCACCAAGTAAATGCACTCCATCCTCAAGCTTTGTTGACCTTAAATGCATAAAAAAACATATCAATTTTTTTTTTACCAATGGCTTAATGTATATCGACCAATAAGAACGAACTAAACTAAGGTATTAACAGGGTTAGAATCATGTTACTTTTGAGTCTTATGGACTATGAACACGTCACTGTTATTGATTTTAAAGCTAAATCAATATAGTATTTGAAACATACTACTGCCATACATACTTCTGTTCTTTTCCAAATTTCATCCTTCTGTACAAACTGTAACTAGGAGAGTCTTTGTCCAATTTCCGCGCAAGGTCTGGAGCAATTTTGACTGCAGAGACTGAGGATGCTATCTACAAAAGATCAAAAGAATCCTTCCATACATCTTATTGATCAATGAGTAAATTAATTATTAGACTTGCTTTTAGATACCTTTCAAATATATATTTTATGAGCACAGTATTATTGATTCTTGCTATTTTGATCACCTGCATATCTATGTTCTGGGTGCCATGGAAAAGCGCAGTTAACTCCCCATTTGCATCCTCAAAGTCAAAAGTTGAATTTGCCCACAGTGGTCCAAGATTGTGAACTGATGCATGTATGTGAAGCAAATTATGGATATTGATGGTCATATGACGCTCAGCTGAAAAAAAAAATGCAAACACCCCATTTCACTAGCTGTAAAAGCCACCATGGTGTCAAAATAATTAACTATTAATTGACAAATACATTGATCTCAACAAAAGTTAATGCATGGAGGCCCAAATGAAGCAGTTAAATACTCACAATAGAGGGCATCCATCAGCATCACAAATTTTGCCAGAAGGTTTCCACTCTGATTGACTTCTTCTGGTGAAATAGTCTGCTGATTCACCAGCCACACACTAAATGCAAGAAGCATGAAGTGGTGAAGATAAACATCGGGAAGAACACCAACCAGGCAAGGAACGCTGTAGTAAAACAGCCAATTTCGGTATTCGGTTGCTGTGAAAAAAAAAGAACCATAGGGTATATGTATTACAAGAAAACATGCCTACTTTAAACAGTACACGACTGTATGCTCATCTATCACATATGTAGACTTAATGGATATTATACCTTTAAAATACTTGCGATGAGTTTCAATAGGTCTGGGTGTTCTTGTGATATTCATGGGTGGATGGATACTACAAAGACGCTCATCAATAATACTGACACGATCACCACAGTACCAAGGTTGGTCCTTGTGTTTTGAATCAAACCACAGGGCCATCAATTGTCGTGTAACTCCAAGCAGGACCCCATGCATGTAATCCAGGCAAACACCTTTACTGATATCATAGTGTTTAAGGCTTGCAAACTGGCAAACACCTTTCATCCCATTTACCTAAGAAAATGTAAGAAAACAAATAATTATGAAAGTGCACTTTATAGATGTACATGTAGATGTCAATTAAACTAAGGTCTACTGTACACTGTAGTGTAAGGTCGACTAGAACAGTACATTTCGTATTTTATTTTTGTGTTAAATGTTTCATATGTATTAGTCATAGTTTTCTATGTAGGTTTCTAAATCTAAGTGAAATTACAAAAATTAATGCTTATAAGGCTCCTTGAGGTATTGAAAATTCTTGTGATGATTCAGAAACCCCATTAGAAAATGACAATAGTATAATACAACTTCGACACTCTGTGAATGTAGGGTCTTCAATGTGCGAAAAAAAACAACAAAAAAAACAAACACTAACACCCAGGATAAAGGTATATATGAAGTAGACTAAATCATTTCATGACATTTAATGACAGTACACTAACTTACAGGTTTTCCTCCTGATGTACCCTGCAGAAACTGCAAGCCATCTGCAACCATACTTTCTTTTGTGCGTTCTTTAGCAAGTCCATTGTTTGATTCAAAATTGAAAGGAAAAACTGTAACTCTTCCCCTGTGTCCTTCTTTTCACACTTGATTTGCAAGACATTCCCAAAACCATGCAGTAACAGCAGCTGCAAAAGCCATTGTACTGAACCATCTCTAAAAGGAACACCTTGCAGGAAGATCAAGAACTGAGCCAAGAAGGAACACATGACTGGTAAAATTTCCCTTATCTGGAATCTCCATAACAAGTCCTAAAAGTGTATATAAACAAAGTATATTTTAAATTATTTGTACAATAACAAAATAATGTATAATCATGTTGTTGGGACAGTGGGTCCACATCTACTACACATATTACATACACAGGACAATGAACTCAGCTCAACTGGCCAGGGCTCAATGTTTCCAATAATATAAAAACTCTAGTAGTAATCAAAAGTGGATTTGATAGGATATTTTGTGGGAATACAATTGTTAAGAGTCACCGTAAATTCTAAACCACTGTTTTCTGTAGTCACCAACTTGGCACCAAAAACGTACACAAATCATGCAAACAATGAAAATGATCACCGCTTGGCAGCACAGGATGCACAAGATTAGGATACATTCTCCTAATGTCAAACTTAATTATGCATCTAGTCAGTATAATACACTACCACCACAAGTTGGCCAGGAGAAATCACGTACATTTATTCCTAGTACAGTTTGCTTGAAAACTTTATACAAAATTTTATATACACTCTAAATATAAGTACATGTACAGTGTATATATGTTGTGGCTGAAACTTGTTTTTAGTTTTAAAACTATACTTTCCTTTGTCTTATATTTATAACTACATTTTAAAACAGGGAAAATAAAAATCAACCTTGCCAAACAAACTTTAAACCATAAAAAAAAATTAGTTAGCCACAACATAGACATGAACATAAAGCTGTCTCAGAGACACCATGTATCCAGGTACCTTTTGTTTCAAGGTCTTCTAATGAAGTTCTGAAAGGTTTCAAAAGGTAGACATCACAGGTTTTTTGTCACTGAACCAGAGGCCACCCAAAAGCATGTTCTCCAATCGTTTCCTATTAATTAAAACATGAAAACATTAAAATGCACTTACGAATTTACATTTATCAGAGTCAGAGCTTTTTTCCAGCCTAGAAAAAGGAACAATAGGGTAAGAGTAATGAAAGTTAGTTTTTAAATAAAAAGGGTCTGATACGGAACTCTATAATAATATCCTTTGATGAAAATAATGGTTTGGCACAATCACAGAAAATAGTAGTGAAAAATGTTGTTAAATAACCAATGTAATTCAGTTCAACTAAGTATATGTACAGTATGTGTCATTCCAGTCATCAACAAGGCAACTAATTTTTTGCAATGTTTTCGGAAATAGTATTGTGAATAGAGAATACAATGATAATTCCAAAAGTTTAATAAGATGCACTTACAATTCACCAATAATAATTTACTCTAATTTTTACCTTTTACTTGGTGGCAACTCATTGATCTCAAAGTACACTGGCCAAATACTTGAACCTGATGATTTGAAGATAGAAACACCATCTGTATTGAACTTTAAGGATAAGTTCTCTGGCTGAGAAAGTGGGCCATTATTTTCAAACAGCTTCTTGTAGAGATGGCCATCATATACATCCTCAATGTTGTGAGGGGATGTCTTCTCTCGCAGAAAGCGGTACTTTATATCTTCCTGAAATTCTCTTCCTAATATCAGATGACAAAAAAATACAACAAAGAAAATCAAGCTTACTGGTTGAATGATAAAACATCACTGCACTCTTTTATCACAAAATACTGTGATTTGAGTGTCAGTCGACACCACCAGCAGATTATAGCTATTAATTTGATGTAGCTCAATTGCCACAGGATGAGGTTTCTGCATTTATCAGAATAAGTGCCCACCTTGAATAAACATCGACCTTAAAGGACCTAACATTAAAGAAGCGCACAGGGCACTTATTCAAATACATATGGTGAGTAAGATAGTAAGAATTTCCACAGCCAAGGTGGGTAACACAAATCGAGACCTTGATAATTTTGCTATCATGTGAAAACCGACTCCAATAATATTTTTTTTTTTTATATACATTTAAAAACTAAATCATCATTTTAGGCTTAACTTTCAGAGACTTTGAAACTTTTTGTCACATGGATCTTACTGGCCCATTATAGGACCAAATATTTGGAAATATTATACTTCAATAGGGGTGACTGCATATTTTAAGCGATATATATATCTAGCTATTATCCCAGGAAGCATCGAAAGTGGCTAAATATATGATGCTGTAGTTAAGCCAGTATTTATATTTATTCCATTTTAACATCAATCACTGTTGTATATGTTGTAGTTTGAAATGAATCTTAGGTCAAAATGATTTCAAACTTGGTTAGTTTTGATTTTCTTTTGTTCCAGATTGATTACCATAATCCTAAGACAAAGAAAAGTACAAATCAAACTAGTTTGAAATCATTTTAACATAAGATCATTTTAAACTGCAACATATAAAATTATATTTTCTTACTTACTTTGCATAAGCTCGTTTAGCTGACTTTCGACAGAAAGGATGACAAAATATGACTTCTTCTTTGGATCTCTCACATCATTGTTGCAAATGGAGCACACATCAGGAGTATCACTTAAAACACCAAGATACTCAGAGCAAAAACTGCAGTAAAAGTGTTTTGTTATGGGAAGCTCGAAGTCAGCAAAGTACCTCTTGAGCTCACTGAGTGAGTTGACACACTTGTTGAGTGGACCAGGAATGCAGTGCAAATTGATCAAAGAAATTACGTCTGAAAGACAACTTCCATTCAGATTGTGAGCTACAGCCAAAGTAAGAATCAAAAGAATGCTTTCCGACAACAAAAGAGGCGACCCAGGGTATACATATACAGGGTCTTCTTCATCAGTCGATTTACTCCTGATGTGATTATAACTGTCTCCACGTGCACAGAATTGGTCGTCATCTGAAGATGTGGAGCTTCGATCGTCTTCTGAGATATCACTCCAAATCGCATCCAGTTTTTCTACACTGTCGTCATCATGCGTTGATTCCGACAAAACGTCTGACAATTCGTGGTCTAGATCTTGATAACTAGAACATGAAGCCAAGTACATATTTGTAATGTTTAAATCCGATTCGTCCGATGATGCTTGACTATTTTCGAAAACAACATCAACAGTTCGCTTGAAACACGGTTTTTTTCTTTGTTCATCTTCATCCGATGAGAAGTTTGCTTTTCGCCTGTTATGTCGGGAAACAGTGGCTTTCGGCTTAGGTATAGCAGGGTTTCTTCGATGCGAGTTGTATCGACCTCTCTTCTTTCGTTTCGTCGACTCCATGGTCAACTCAGGAAAGACTGCAGGTAGAGTGGACTGGCATCTAATACATATCAAAATCCCCTGCTGATTGGCTTACACCTAACACGTGACTACACAAAATGAGCGCGAAAACTTCACAGAGGCCGTTTTCGCGCTCATTTGTTCATTTCGTTGTTCCTTTCGTTGTTCGTTTTGAAGAGGATCGAGTTCGGTTTTGTCAGCTTGTAGATTTCTGCAATTATGAGGAAAACAAAAGCACCTTCTCGCTTCACTGATCATCTTGGTAAGTCATTTTACTTCCAAATGTAATTCTTGTAAGTGCCTAAATTAAGATTATTGTTCTAAAACAATGATTTTGAGAGCTCGGCCCATGCTTATATAGGAATTAATTAAATTACAGGCGTGCGTTTCGCGGTTCAATGAACGCGGTTTAAAAAACACGCTTCTACGACCTATATAAACTCTTTCTAGTAAATATACACTGCAATCTTTTGCTTGAATAAAATAAATTTAGGCTTTTGCATTATACGATGGAGCTTGGCAATCAATTTTGTAGTTTTAAATGCTGGGAAGAATGTCGCATATATGCTGGGGACAGAACACGTGCAACGTACAGCTCACAGTCCTTTCAACCTCTTCAGAGGTTGAATAAGACGTGCATAATTTTATCGTTATATGTTCACCTCATATCTCATATATATTTCGAACTTTTCATTCATGCTCAATAATTTCTAAGAATTTTCCAGGATATCAGTTGTTTCGGATATTGTGCAAGGATTAATTCGTTCCGAAGATCATCATTAATTAGGCTTTCGTTCCACTCATTTCAATATTGCCGCGTTCATTTACAAATGTAACTGTTCGCCAAATCTGTCAAAATCGCTTCTTTCTCGTTTCTATCTGATGTTGATATCTTCGACTTGCTCAATTAATAATCGACGGCAAAGAAAAGAGGGACTGCTTACAGTCTGGTCATAGCCTGGTTATTGATTGATAGATTAATTGTATAGATGGCACTTTTGAAATTGGGATCACCCTCGATTTTTCATTTATCATTGTCAAGGTAATAAATAATGCATGATTCATTCTTTAGCTATACATTCCATCTTTGATAGATCTGGATAGATTAGTAACTGGTTTATTCTTAAACAACAACGATCAGTTTCTTTTCGATCAACTTTGATATTTGGCTCAGGATCAAAGCTCTTGACCATGCACTATATAAGCTGAGAGCAACTTCAAGATTCTTTGCGAAATTTCAATATGTTAACTTCAAGATTGCATTCTTATTATTTAGTGTGCAGCATACAAACTGGTTTGTCTGGTGCCATTAATTGATTATAATATCGTTGATGTGTCTTATTATATTTTGTTCTTTATCGTAGACCACTACCTTGTTGTCTTCAAGGATGACAACATCAAAAATATAGTCAGTGCTGATGAGATTAGAAACTGTGAAAAAATTGAAAAAGGAGCATCTTGTGATGCACTGTGGACGGATGCCCATCACAAGGACTGGTATCCTGCATTTGTTGTGGACATTGGAGGTAAGACTAATTAAATCATCACAAAATAAAGGCCTGGCCATGCATTAACACAAACTGATAAATCCCAGGGTGAGAGGAAGGAGCAAAGGGCCTTCCTAAGTAGGATTTTATAGTTCACTGTACATTGTATTTGTATTATAATTATTATAACAACATGGCATTGATTTCATTTGCCTTTAATTTGGTGTTATAAGCTGGAAAAGTATACATAACACTGATGGGTATAATTTGCAAAAAGTTGTTGCATGACAGTCAAAACAGGTCAAGTATTTCTTTTAGTGAGCTTCCATGTAGTGGAATGTCAATTTTTAGTTGCACTGAATTAATGTAATTTGACATATTATTTCTAGACATTTGCATAATCAATTCCTGCAATGATTGGCATTTCCCTTGTTTCTGTTTGCCACACAAGACACTCAATCTTTTCAAGCCTCCCAAGAATTCATCTGACATAACTATGATATTCTTCCATTTGTCTGACTTCAGTGTTTTCTTTTTAAATGTCTGCTATCCTACAGATCTAGAGTATCTGACAAATGTCCAGCAGAGAAGAACTCAAAAGAAAAAATTGCCAACTAAGACAAAAGCCAAAGTAGACAAAGGGGGGAAAGGAAAAAGGAAGAGAACAAATGTCTGGTCTAGCACAGAAAAAGGAAAGACGGAATCCGATCCAGAAGTAAACAAAAGTGAAGACGAATGTGAAGAAAAAAAAAGGAAGAAATTATCTATGGAGGCCAAGGCCAAAAAGGCCGCAAAGGCAAAAACCAAAAAGGAAGCCCTGCTAAAGCAGAGGCTTCAGCAGGCAAAGACATTCAAATTAAAAACCAAATAAGTAGCTCTTCCCATGAATGTTCCGAAGAGCTGAGTGACTCTGAAAGCGAGCGTGCATGTAGTCTTCAACAGGCCAAAGTATCTCCAAGCCAGCAGTCACATAGCTCATCCCTTGGATATTCTGGAAGCTTAATAATGGTTGATTCTGAGAGTGAGCCGTTAAACAGCAGTGAGGATGAGTACTTCCCAGGTGATGAAGAGATGCATGCTGATGATGATTTTGTAGGAATGGAAGTTACTGTGCCATACCGCTCACCGCTAAAGGAACTTTTTCAGAAGGGTATGTCTAAGTTTTGGGCTGTTGAAAAACCTGTAGTTAGCATTCCTACTACTTGACCTGAACAGATGAACCTTATGTTTTTTTTTTTTTCTGATTTCTGTTCCAAATTTGCATGCAAATCCAAAACTATCCATATTACTGAGAATTAGGAACCAGAATGGTTTAAGGAAAATATGCCACCAAAATCTCAACCTTCACCAAACAAAGCACTCATCATTGACAAGCCCTTCTTGTGTTCTTTTAACATATAATGTGCTTTAATGTGATCTAATTAGCTATTTCTTAATTATAACTCAAAGCAACCAAGAAAAGTGAAAATGATTAGTACATGCAGTTATCACTTGTAAGGTCCTTCAAGTTACACTTAAGGTACTCTACACTTTTATCCCAATGATGAAATTTTATTCAGATGCATGCATACATGTATATTTTGAAAGGTGATGCTAAAGTTGCACCAATATCAAGGAAAGAGAAGGGATCAAGGAATCTGACAGATGGAGCTCAAGGACAAAGTGAGTATAGTATCTATATAGTGTCTGTCCATTGTTGTTTCATGATGTTATTTGTTTTACATGCATATTCTACTTGATATTCAAAGTGGTCTTGGAGTTGCAACAATAATTTAAAAGGAAGTAGAACAATTAACAGCTAGAGATTACCATGATGAAGTAAATTTTATTCAAGTTACACTTAAGGTGACTCTACACTCAAGTTAATGATCCCAATGATGAAGTAAATTTTATTCAGATGCATGCATACATGTATTTTGTTTTGCAAGGTGCTTCTAAAGTTGTACCAATATCAAGGAAGGAGAAGGGATCAAGGAATCTGACAGATGGAGCTCAAGGACAAAGTGAGTATAGTATCTATAGTGTCTGTCCATTGTTGTTTCATGATTTTATTTGTTTTGCATGCATATATTCTACTTGATATTCAAAGTGGTCTTGGAGTTGTAACAATAATTTAAAAGGAAGTAGAACAACAGCTAGAGATTACCATGATGAAGTAAATTTTATTCAAGTTACACTTAAGGTACTCTACACTCAAGTTAATGATCCCAATGATGAAGTAAATTTTATTCAGATGCATGCATACATGTATTTTGTTTTGCAAGGTGCTTCTAAAGTTGTACCAATATCAAGGAAAGAGAAGGGATCAAGGAAGCTTTTTATGAAACTGATCAAGAGCAAAGTGAGTATGCATGGTATCTAGCAATCTGTCCATTAATTGTCTGTGTTATATGTCATGGTTTTATTCATTTTGCACTTGCTCTACCTGATATGCAATGTGGTCTTGGAGTTGTGTCAAAAGAACAAACATCATATAGGCATATAGACTTGGTGAGGGTCCTGAGAGTGTTTTCTTTATACAGGTTTGACTGTAGCTGTTATGAATATAATGAATGAACACACATGTATGCAGGTGTAGATCAAGTTTACCTTCACTGAATATAAACATAAAACTTGTACTTATAATTACAAATATATGTTTCTTTTAGGATCTCAGCCTGCCCTCTCCAAGTGTGGACGAGAGGAATGCCGTCTCTTGAGACAAGAAAATGCCTCACTGAAGCAGAAAGTTTTGGAATTAGAGCAGAAATTGAATGGTTAGAATTACTGTTTATTGTTATCATGTTTTGTATATAACTGCCACTAGAAACATTTTTTATCCTACAAAAATAACAGTTAATTGGCACACTTAAAATTTAATTATTATTCACTATTTTTTTTTACTTGATTGTCAATCATTGAAAATGATGGAGGGTTGTGTAATGTATGTATGTTTTTGATTCATTGGTACAGGTACCTATTCTTATAGGACTGTTTTGTTTAATTTCTTTCAGATCAGTATAGTGAAGACACTAACAAACCACTTGCTGGAGTCATTTCTCCAGTAATTGCATCAAAACACAAGGTACACATGCCTGTACATGCATGCTTTAAATAACAAGCACTCCTAGTTTAATGTTCAATTGTATATTTGAGGGCAGCTGTTTTACCAGATGTATTTGTTGTTTATTTCAAGCACCCTACATGTACAACCTACAAACCTAGTGTTCCCTAAATACTAAGGGTGCATCTGCTTGATATGAAGTCACAATGTTATTGGTAATAAGTTTAACATTCTGGGGCCGGATTCATGAAGCCCTCTAAACTAAGACAAATCCTAAACATTGTTTATTAACAATAGTCTATTGTCGTAACCACAATAGACTATTGTTAATAAACAATGCTTAGGATATGTCTTAGTTTAGGTGGGCTTCATGAATCCAGCCCTTGATAGGTCATCCAGAAGAAATGTAATTCTCTGTGAGGGAGACTTTAAATAGGTGCGTTAAATTTTTCTGTTCTTCATCCAAAGTT